CCATTGTATTTCTGCTTTATATTACGATGATAAAAAACACAAAGTGACGTTACAATATAACCGATTTAATGTCTGTTGCACTTCTTTCAAAATTAACTTTAAACTGTGATAGAAAATCTTGTGCTGAGAGATAAAACCGAAATGTAGCTGTGTGAAGTCAACTACCAACTGAGAATTCGAATGTGACTTTGCTGTGAAAGCAAAGTGAAACGTAAACAAGAGACGTGGTTGTGCGATCTTATTTATATTTTCAAATAAGCCGTATACATGATAATGATCATATAATCATTTCGATGCAATTTGTTAATCGATTTATTTAAGTTTTTACAAATATAACACGCAATATCATTTTAGGTGTTTTGTGTAATGTTTTAAACAATGGCAGAAGTGGTTTACAATGTATTTATCATTAAAATTATAACCTCACTTATAGATTTGCTACAATAGTTTATTTTAAAAATATTTTACACAATGATAGAAATTATAAAATATGTTACAATTATTTTCATATATATATGGTATATACATAATTTATATACAAAGTAAATATACATGTATGTTACCGTATAATCGGCATTCTTTGTGCAAAAATAAAGTAACATTATGTAATAAAAGACTTTTTGTGTACAACATGTAGTTGTGTTCTATTTTTACAATATTTTTATATCATATATAATACTTATGTACATTATCATATATTTCAGTATATGAAAATATATACTATGTACTATGTACTAACATGATAAAAACATTTGTAAACATTTTGAAACTTTATTGAATATATATAATATGTTAAATATTTTCTATGTATAAACTTGAAGAATATACATGTAATACTTGTTTAAATGTACTTATATTTGTATATTTATATACGTATATTTGTATATATTCATATAAATATACATGTATATTTTAACATACTAGTATATAACATATTATAATATAAAACTATTATTGTGCGTGTTGTGTTGTGTGTACATTGTTTACATGTTCTATTTACTTTCTACATATCGTCAAACAATTTACTGCATGCACTAATAAAATCTATTAGTTGTTCTAAACTATATTAAGTATTGTGTGTACGTACAATTGTAACAAGATTTTACTTATAAGCATGCATGTGCCACAATACAACTTTATGAACAGATGTTACGTTTATATTTGCATTACTACACATATTACTGGGCATATAACTTTCCATAATAACTTATAATATAATTAAAAAAAGATGTTAGAATGTAAGAACCATATTGTACATAACATATGTGACAATCAAACGGCAGTAACAAAGGAACAATCGATGTACATTCGTGTTCTTTTTTTTGTCATAAAATGAATAATAACTAGGAATTTTGGCTCGAAAAGTCACAATATGCATTACATGGTAGACAGTCCTTTTGCAGTGCTACATTTAAATGAACGGAAAGTACATAAGAAACAAATCATATTGGTTATTACATATTTCACATAGGAATGGCCATCCCGAATGACCAGATCGATGATTATTTATTTCCATGTTCATTTTTTTATTTGATGGTCTCAAATAAAAGGATGAAACAAAGTTATCACACTTTTCCTGTTAGTCTTCAGAAATATATGACCGTTTTAAAGAAACATATCGGCGTTCATCTAACTTCATGTTTTCTTCATAAGTTGTGTCACGTATCTTCAAAAATATAACATATAAATTTATACAAATACAATTAAAGAAATAATAATGCCAGTAAAAGCTACATATACAATGTACGTNGTAGATATATTTTGACGGATAATATACTACAAAGTATAATACAAACATATTGAAAAATCTACTTCACAGTTCTGTATACATCTCATATAAAAACAATGTTTTTGTTCGTTTATATAATTTAAAACTCAAGAGCAAAAAAAACATCTTGATCAAGAGTCAACCTCGCATTTTGTGCAATTACAGTTTGATATACACTTTTTCGTAATTAGGTTTTGCATTTCACATATGGCAAAAAAAGAGTTATTTCTACGAAAGATGTAACCAAGACATTTAAAAAAGCGTGATAAAATTAAGATAAATTTGAATTACAATGTCTACTACTAAATACATAAAAAACTATTTTGCACGTACAGTGTTAACTCTTACTTTGAATTTACAATTTTTCTTACGATTGAATATCAAACAAAAACATTGGTAAATTGATATAAAGTTATATGTATTTGTTATAATTTTACTGTTCTCACACAGTCTGTTAATATTAGTATATTATTTTTATACACTTTATGTTTATCTTTCTAACGTACTTCGCGAGATTTATTTAAATGCTTCGATTCATGATGCTGTTCTAGATGACAAAAATAAACAAATTNTTTGGTAGGTTCACATATATCTCATCTATAATTGTTTACGTNGTACATTTATGACCGTCTCGATGAGTAATATATTCGTGCTCTGNATAAAAATGTTTANCACATATCTTAAACATAAAACAGTAATGATTAATATTACGCGATATTTTANTTTAGTAAGTGTTTTCATACATATCTTTAAAAAACTTGCCACGCAAGAANACTCGACATACGAATGCANTAGTTCTGCATGTNTTTCTAAANTAGTAAACTNTNGAACTGCGTAATCACATTTAGNACAGACCCATTTACCATTGTGNCTATGACANTTATTATAATGTTCTGANAANAAGAATCTTGTTTTCGAAACGCCATCACATATCTGTAAAAGAAATATATATTTAACAGATATATACACATGTGATCTAAAGAGTCGGTATTTGTTTGGTTTATCAACACATTTGTAAACAAAACATACATCATACACTTACCACGCAAATATNAAGTAATTTATTTAAATGCACTTTTATGTGATGTTTGACCAAATTACAAAATAAATAAAAATTCTGATNTGTACATATAGTACATACAAACATGGTTGACATCGTACATTTATGAACATTTTGATGATCTTGAAATTCTTGAAATGTAGAAAACTCTGTATCACATATCTTAAAAATATTTGAAGAAGATATATATATACACGTAATCTTTTATATATATATATATATAAAACTCTCTCGGTATTTATTTCTTTAATAAATACAGTTGTAAAGAAGACATACGTCATACACTTACCCCGCAGTTATAAAAGGAATGACTAGAGGAATGACTTATGTTGCGATGAATCCGCAAATCATTAAAGAAAGGAAAAGTGTTTGCACATATGGTACATGCAAANACGTTCGACTTCATACATTTATGAACATTTTCATGATCTGTTAATTCTCGAAATGTATAAAATTGGTTAGCACATATCTTAAAAATNAAACAGTATAGATTACTAACATGCTACATATTATTTTGATAATTGTTTTTTTACATATTTTCAAAATACTTGCCACGCAATAGTACATGTCATTTAAATGAATTGATGATGCATGATTCTTTAGAGTGCTAAGGTTTTTAGTTGTGTAATTACATTTAGTACATAGGAATATATCATTGTGTTTATGATAAGTATGATAATGCGTCTTCAAGGTCTGTTTATGGTCGCAAACGGCATCACATAACTAAAGAAGAATTATGTACATACCTATGATCTTAAAAATCACTGTATATTTCGGTTATAAATATTTTTGTAGAGAAAACATCTTACTTGGCATTGATATTGTTGTTCAGTACTTGTAGGTACTGCACTCGTCACGCCAGTACTTGTAGATGCCATTGTATTTCTGCTTTATATTACGATGATAAAAAACACAAAGTGACGTTACAATATAACCGATTTAATGTCTGTTGCACTTCTTTCAAAATTANCTTTAAACTGTGATAGAAAATTGTGTGCTGAGAAAGAAAACACCGATGTGTAGCTATGTTGAGTCAAATAGCAACTGAGAATTCGAATTTGACTTTGCTGTGAAAGCAAAGTGAAACATAAACAAGAGACATTGTGCGATCGTATTTACATGATATAAGCTACGCAATATAACGAGCAACGAATCGCCGAAAAGATGAGGAGCGGAGCGCGTGCGCGCGCGGAGATAGGGGGTGTAATAAGATTGGCGTTGTAAATGGCAGTGTAAACATAAAGGTGGCTGCGGGCTATCGCGAAAATTGAAACAAACGCGGCTATCTCGCTTCTCGTGTAACGAATGTCAGTTGTCGCCTGTCGGAGGCCTCGCTTTTATCGACAAAAAGTGTCACGAGGAGCCGACGATTTACGACCAAGATTGGTATCGACGAAACAAATGGTATAACGGCAGACTGATTCGCCAGAAAGATTCGCCATGAAGCTCGTGTAATAACGCGCGCCGCGTAAAATTTTAACCGTGCTTACGTTACGAAATCCCGAAGTAATTTGGAGTTTTTTGCGTTTTTATTTTTTAACTCCGGATGTGATCGTCTCGACACGTGTGTGTCCGCCAAAAAAAATAAGCGAAGAGAAAACGAAAAAATGCAATATCATAAAAACTTCGTAACAGGAAGGTGGAATTTTTGTTTAAACTTTTAATGTGTAAGTAGCGGGGATAAAATTTAGAGATTGCGCTACCTAACCTTATATATACGCAACATAATTTGCAACATGAAAAGAAAGTTTGTGCAACTTGTTTTATTTACGATGAGGAATTAAAATGATGAATAAAAACCATGACGTAAAATCATTATCGCTCGCGCGATTGCGTAAACTCACACACGCGGTTATGCGTTATGCACCTCTGGTATTGGAAATTAATTTCGAGGCATGTTTATAAACGCAAGATATATAGTATATACATACACAAATATTGCAAACAAATATCATTGCGAAAATATAAAATGCTCTCGAGCGAGAAAACACGGCTCGTTATATCGCACGTTGAAATTGATACAAGAGAAATAGACAATTTTTTGATGTAATTTGTTACATTTTACTAAAATCCAAATTTATCGGAAAACATCAATTATGAAAAATACGTGTGAAACATTACGCAAAACTAATTTGACGAACGAACACCGATCAATGACGATTGTTCTGGATTGTTTTTTAAGAGTGTATTGCATGTTAACAAATTACGTTGAATTTCTTGAGTGAGTAACTTTTTTTTATCGCTTACACACGCGTTGTATATCGTATATTAAGTTAATAAAAGACAATGCGTTACTCGTCACTCGGCATATAAAACACACGGTTTGTTTCAGATCCCGCGGATTCGAACACAATCGCTTTTGTCGAAAACTACCTTTGCAAGGAGCATTAAAAATATCGAGTAAATTGACGCCGTCAGATCTCAATACGCATTTTCGCTTCCGTCGGACCGAAGCCGCGAGCGATCGACCGGGTTTGTTCGTTGAAGGTTTTTCAAATACGTGTCGTAAGTCGATAGATTTGTCGATAAATATTGCAAACAACGTAAGTACGCAATAAAAATTTAATAACGAGAATCACGTTCGTTTACATACATTACGTTTGTTCAATCGGTCGCGCGTTTTTTCACAGATCGAAGCTGCGGCGAAACATCTCGCAAACTCGTTGGTGAAAACTTATTCCACACACACCGTGCCCGTTCTGTTTGCTTTAGTTAATTTCCCGGACGTTCCTCCGTCCAAAACGTTGAAAATATTATCGCGGATTTTAAGTGAATCAGCAAACGACTTAACGCGCCGCGGCAAACTGCTCGAGGGTATTTTGTCGCCAGTTTTTTTTTTTTTTTTTTTTTTTTCCTAAGCTTACACGCGAGTTATTATTTCTATCACCGCGCTTGCTAATTTACAAGAGATAGCGTTTTTCTTCACTACGTGTTTCTTGCATTGCATAAAATTATGTAATACCGCAGAACTGCCGGCGCATAATCAGACAAAGACTCTCCTAAATCTCGTGAGTAATTTTATTCGCGAACGGGGAGAAAGACCGTCCAGAGCGCATAACCACTTAAAAATCTGCAAATTCTGCGATAGCGTCGTCTGCGAAAAAAAAACTCAGCGAAACGTGGTACACATAAAAAAAATTGAGTCGGAGTTATTAACATAATAGTTGAATATAAAAACACAAAAAACTGCAAGATAAGTACATTACATTTCTACGAAACGAGAATAATCTCATTTGTCTTTTTTTTTTGTCGCAGAACAAATTTTGTTGCGCCAAAGCGGAACGTTTTAATCGATTGTCGAACGAGTGGATTTTGCTACACGTGTCACAGGTAGTTTTTATTCCTCCATCCGAGTAATTATTGTTTATACTTACGTTTGACAGATGTGTTTACTCACGCATCTCTCGTCTCCGAGAACAGAATCCATCGTTCTCCAGATTTGTCGATTCGATCGAAAACGTCAAATACGACGGTGATTGCGACAACAAAAGTTTCTCGCGGGAAAGAGATCTCGCGACAATCGGTAATTCCAATGACACAGTAACGCAATCAATGTCGACCGACAAGAAAAATACATCGACGCTCGAGAATCGTCGTTACGGAAATCGCGCGAGTTCGCAAATAAAGACGAATCCGAAAAGAAGAGGCGATAGAAAAGTTGATTCGAACTCTAACAGCGTAGAATCGCAATCGCTCTTCACTAACAAAGAAGACACACTGGCGTTCGAGGATCATTACAGGAACGGCATTGTTTCTCAAAGAAAAACGGTAAATAACGATAATCGAGACGTCAATCGCGTAACATCGAGACATTTTGAGATAAGTGAGAAAAGATCGGACACCTAGCCGAATTAGAAATAGGTCACCGTGACGGAATGACCGACAAAGCGTTATCGGAGACGAACGGCAACCGTTTTTTTTTTTTTTTTTGTTTCAACGCGGAGAAGCGAAAATGTCGGCAGGTGAAGCACGTAGCACAACGCTGGTGAAAGAAGAAACATCGACGCGGCGGCGGCAACGGAAAGAATACGGGAGGAACGTGACAATAATCCATATCGGCTCGAACACGACGAGGTTGAAGATAAGGACTCGACAGGATCGCCGTTTCGGCTCAACGCGACGTGCAAGAACGAACGAACGAACGAACAGAATCGCGGAAAAAAAAAAGCCGAGGATACGAAGAACGTCGGGGAGAAAACCGCCGACGAGCGCGGGAATCCCAACAGAAGTTCTTATCGTCGTCGCGGAGAGGAATACGATCGTCGGATAACATAGCGCGGAAGATCGACCGATTAGATCGAGTCGAGAAGGAAAGTACGTCGACGGGAGATATCGGAGAGAAGTCACATCCGGGGCGGGATGAAAATGGCCAAACGCGATCGACACGTAAACGAGGAAAAACCGGTTATTCACGGAAGTGGATAGAAAGCAAGGATAGGCAAGGACAAGGAGATCACGGCGCTCTCTGTCTCGAGATGGGAGCAAGAAAGCGAGGGATTCGCCCAATGACGCGGAAAACAGATGCTTCGTCGTTGATAAAGAAAGAAAACTTCCTACGCGCGGTGAGAAACGCAGAGACGCGTCGACAAAGAAGCGATTCTAAACGAAACAAACAGGTTAATAAACTTGCTCACATTCTGGCTTTATCAAAATGCACCAGAACGTTAGAAAAAACGCAAACACTCTCTCGTCGGAGAGAAAAATTCAATAAAAATTATTTTGTCACGGTTGAAATTATCTTCTGGCATTTCTTTCGTAATTCATTTCGATTTTTCTATGCAACAACAGTCGACGCCATTTTTCAAATTTTTTTATCCCGATGATTCCGGCGAGTTGTCTCATTCTACAATGGTGCATTAACCGTTTAGAATCTGCGGACGAAAAATTCGAAAATTTAATTAATTTATATTGGTATATTGCGATGTGTGTGCGTATATGGATTATTTTACAACCAACATCGAATAAGTAAATAATTACTAGATACATTATAATTATATTGCGATCGAGCGTCACGCAAACATATATTTATACACTCCCATTAAATATAATCAGAGAATTCTAAAATATAGTATTAAATATAGTATTAATATCTATTTTATTATCTATTTACGCGCGTTATTGCAATTGACATTTTAATTTTTTGCGTTTTTACTCGATTGCGTATTTTGTTTTTTTTTTGCAATTTTGGGTCACTTTGAAATTGTAAACATTATCATATTTGTTTGCCATTTGTTTGCCATTTGTTGTTAAAGATATTTAGTTATTATCCTGTGCACACACATATCCTGTGTAACTGATGGTGTGAAAAAAAACCACTAAATTAGACATTTGTCAAAAGAAATTGAACTGTCAAAATCTTTTTTGCACGTAATATTTATAAGTTTATTATTCTTGATCCAGTTGCATTATATTCTTGTTCGCTTCTATTTGTGGTTTATACTCGAATATAAATCTAAAATAGTTGTTTGTTTTTGATCACATTAACACGAACCGACTTTGATCGATCGAGCTTTTCGATTCGCGACGATTTCGTCTGTAAATTGCGATCGCTCTATCAAGACCTCGCGGAGGTGGCGGACTTAAAAATATTGCCGCTATCAATTTCAAGACGATATGTATACCGTGTTCACGCCAAGAGGTAAGGACGCATTGGGAGATCGGGAGACGCGGTCTCAAATCTTCGCCGATATTTGATTGAGAATGGGAAATGGCGCGTCGCGTTCGACCAGATCGGCGCGGTGGTACGCGTTCGGAAAAAGAATTTACAAAGAATGTTTAATTACTGTCGAGGGGGTACTCTCACTCGCGCCAATTTGCCAGGACTCCAATTACTTCCGCAGGCTGTCCTACAACCGGAGATCGGTGGAATTTTCACAGACAATCCCACCGAGCTGTCCCTCGCCTGGACCTGGAAGGCCAATTCGAGGGAGTCGATACTCGAGGATGTACACTCGGTAGATGGAAAACGTTGACTGAAGGTTTTTTTTTTTTTGACCTCCTTTTCCGAGATACACATTGTCGATCATTCGCGAACAAACGAACAGAGTAAAATCCCTCCGTTCGTCGTTTTTTTTTTTAACTTTTCCATCGGATAAAAATCTGCAAAAAAAAAGGCAACTTCTGCGCTGTGTATGCCAAAATTTTTTGAATTTTTTAAAGTTCTATGTCGATCCGATTTACAGAAGTTGTTTATAGAAAAAAATAAACACGCGAGGAGCGAATTGATATATGTATTTTTATATGCTCGTATAACTCTCACAAATATATCTTAAAATAATTATTATTGTAAATTGATAAAAAAAAAATATATAGACGCAAAACAAATGTCCCCGAAAATTTATGCAGAAAAAACATACCGTCCATCGGTTGCATATTTTTCTTTTCTACGATCGAAAACACAGCGGCAAACAGCAAGTAATTTTTATATGTTTACATACACGTACAATAAAACAGCAAATGTTTATGCGCGTTTACGTTCCGTTACGTTTCGTTTGGTTTCTTCAGTTCCGGAAATGTTGAGACACCGACATCTCTCCGAGTCCAGTCCGAGAAATGAGGAAAAAGAAGGTCGAGGAACCTGTTGTCGAGAAGCGACAAGAAGAGGAGGTTGGAAACGAGTTATGTGTGTCAGACAAAAAGAAGTGGAACAAATTCTATCCGAACAAAGCATTCTAATTGCGCGTCAATCCGCATTCTCGGAATTAAATTGCAGCGGAGTTTCACATTAGGCGTATTAATTCCATATACGTTACAATCCGCTTGAAATGTATGTAAAACGTATACAATGTGTGTTCAACTTAAATTATTATCGCGACTTTCTTTTTTTTTTTTTTTTTTTTTTTTTTTGTACAGTCGACGCGAAACGGTAGGAACACATTGTTGAAAGACGTCAAATTACATATTTGAGCCGGAAATAAATCAAAAAAAAAATTTAACCGGCAAAACTGTAAAAAATATACAAAAAACCTAAATCTAGCTGAAAAATCAGTTTTCTCGCGAATGTGTGTGTTAAAAGGAAACGAAAATGTTGAGGTACAACGAAAAAAATGAGATGAACGCACAAATTTATATAAATAAAAAGGATCATGTAATTAAAATAATTCTCAAACACTTGTTATCGTAAAACGGATGTTTCGTAAATACAAATTTCTCGCACTGGTAGGTAGGTATAGAGTAACGTATGCACGACACATTTACGTGCACTGCAAGTGTCGTGTCACACGTGTCTCGTGTACAATGTGTGTACGAAATCATGTCTATGTCATGTGTTTACGTGTGTGTTTATGTGTGTGTGTGTGTGTGTGTGTTTAAGACACATACGTAAAACATATTCCCAATTCTCTTGGAAATATCTTCCTCGACGGATATCTTATGTACTAAGCGAAGTAAGTCAAAGTAAAGGAAAAAGGTAAATGTGGTACAATTTTGATCAATAAATTAAGTTAGATCGATCGGAATATCGAGTTAGAAGAAGAAAGGAAAAGACTAAATAAATAGAATATGCGCTTTTGATGAATCTCTCTCTCTCTCTCTCTCTCTCTCTCTCTTTCGAGCGGCTCAGTGAACGATCGTCCGGTTGTTTCGCTTCGAATTTTTACAAACTTTTTTATTGCCATTTATATGTGTATATATATTTTTTTTTTTCTGACGACTCTCTGCGAGTCGCAATTTCGGGGGACAAACGTGTTTACGCGAGCGCCGCCTCGTTGAACCGCTCGAGGTTGAAAAAAAAAAAAAATAAAAAATAAACGTGAAGTGTACCATCGAGTGCCGGCAACGACGTCGACGTATGACGTCGAGCGTCTCTGCGTGCGTTTCTTCGCGAGAACTGCGCCGCGAATTGCGCGCGATGAGGTACGAACGAAGAAAGAAACGTTTACTTTTCGTTGTAGCGTACGAGATGCGTGTATATAAATAATAGCGTGATTACACACACACAAAAGTGATTTCGGAGAGACGCGAGACAAGCGGGTCCTGAAGGGCCGTTTGACTACCCGCGCGGCTTATTTACAATGCCCTCCTGGAGAGACTATCCTGGCGGTTGCGATATCGATCCCTCGCTTCCGAGAGATATATCCGAGTGCGGACTATTCCGAGTAATCGCACGAGGTATGGAAATTACGTTGATTACTAACCACGCAGTCATCATCACGGAAGCATCGCGGAAATCGATTTTCCTGATATATATATATGATATATATATATATATATATTCGTCATTTCGCTGAGCAACGCGCATTCCATCGATCGCGTCGATTTGCGAAACAAAAAGTTAAATCGATCACGAGCCGATCAATGGAACACGGCGCCGTCAGCGGCTCCTTCATCCTCCTCCCTCCTCCGGTTTTTCTTTTCCTTTGTTTCAACAAAACAGCTCGTAGCCTTCCTAGGCCTTTTTATTTACATGCTCGCACTCGAAGATTCCCCTCTCTCTCTCTCTTTTTCCTCCCTCCCTTTCTCCCTTCTTCTCTATTTAATTAAATTCGCGCCTTCTGTCTTAATTGATATCGATCTAGCCAATTGTCTCACTCGACTCGACTGTCGCGATTGACGCGCAACTAGACTAGACACGAAGCTACCATCGGCCGCGCGCTACATATATAGCGGAGGAGGAGAGAGGAGAGAACGCGGTTGTGCAACTTTCGACGAGGAGAATCTCCGACGTGTCTCGAGTTTCGAATGAAATAGTGTCGCGGTGCGGTCCCGAAGCGTTTGCCTGTCGTCGAGGTCGGTAATCTCCCTCCCGGAAGAGGAAGGATCTCTTCCTTCTGCTTCTCACATTCTCACTCTCTCATTCTCTCTTTCTCTATCTCTCTCTCTCTTTCTCTCTTTCTCCTACGACGAGTCCTTTTGATTTTGCGCACCGTGTACAACTTCTTCAGTTAGCGACCTTCACAAACTCTGGATTCGGCACGTTGCAGCTGTCCGTCACGTACGCCGGATGCACGAAACTGTTACCGCCTATCGCGGCGTTCTTGCGGTCTACGGCGCGCACCCTAACGAAGAGAAAGGCCGCGACGAGGGACGCCACCACGACGACCAGCAGCAGCATCACAAGACCGCCCACGAAACCCGGCAGACTCATGCAGATCGTTTCGGTGTCGCTGTACGCGTTGTTCTGTATGACCACGGTGGTGTCGTTGCTTGAATTCGTCGTCCCCAGAGCGAAGTTGACATCGCCCGGCGCGACGACCTGAATAACCCGCGAGGTGTTGACGTCCGTCATTTCCTGCGCGGCGCGCTTGTACACGTGAGTGGAGAACAGAGTCACCGCGTGATATATGTTCTGAAAAAAATCAATGAGAATCCGTTTTTGGTGCGCGTTTTTGTACGAGAAGAAGTCTGTTTTGGCGCAAGATGTCGAATTACATCGTGCAATAATGCGACTGATGATCGACGTTGATTCTCTCACATTGTGCTGATGATAAATTTGACAAATGTAAGATAAATCACATGAAAACTCACGTTATCGTCATCTTCCAACTCCCTTTTTCTTCTTGCGCCTCTGAGTTCGGCCGGGAAACCTTCGACTGACCTCGGTCGACCTCCGAGGCTGGCCAAGTTACCCTCGAGTTCCTCCGTGCCGGCGGTTCCCTTTCGCTTCACAGTCTGGTACGCCGTCGGGTGGCCGGGCAGAGGAGGAGGAGGAAGGTGAATATTGTCCTGGGGACTTTGAGGTGAGCTGCTCGCCGTAGCGTCGCCCGGCGTCGAGCTCGGTGAGGAGGACGAGGTTTGCGCCGATGGCGCCGGAACCACATCCGGATTCGGTTCGCTGCAGTTCCAGAAATTAATTTATATCGTTAGCACTCCGATAATATAGCAGCCTTTTGCGCGATTCAAGCTCGTATAATTATCTTAAGTGTTTTATTCATTTAAAAAAAAATTAATTGCGTCGTGCAAATTTCATTTCTCGAAAAGAAATCTCCTTCGAGTCGGGATCCAGTGGATTTCCTTTTGTCGTCCGAGTTAGTGAGGATGGATTAGCGAACGGTTCGCAGAAAAGAGATTAAAAGTTGATATACGTGTGTTCTCTTCTCACCTGTACGCTCCAGCCGGTCCGCTTGGATGTCGCGGATCGGGATAAGCCGGTGGCACGCCGTATTCGGGCACGGGCGGGGCACCGTACTCCGAAGCGAGACCCTGCGAGACCGCCGCGCCATATTCGTGCGAAATGCCGGGAACAGGTGCCCCGTACTCGAGACCGGGATGTCCGCACTTAGGCTCGGGGCAGTTGTACCTGCAGACTTGAATCACGCACTGGAAATGAACGTTCATGCTGTCGGGGAACTTGAACGCCTGGAAGTAGGCGAAGCTGACGACGGACGCGCTCGGGCCGAAGTTCTTGACCTTCTGGAACCTGCGGGAGAAAGATTTCGTTGTTTTTTTTTTTTTTTGTTTCTTTTTCAAAAGCCTGTGTCACAAAATGTACATTACAAAAAATATTAAACGTCCCAATGACCGGGTATCAATAGACGGACTTTTTTTATCTTATTTATTTGATGCAAGATTTTTAAGAAGTCAGATATGCGTGACATTCGCACTCACCTGGACATGATTTTCGGTCTGACGACGCAGCCGTACTGATCGACCAGCTGAATCGGCGCTCTCTTGCCGTCGTGCGCGACGCAGTTCCTCACCAACATGTCGAACTTGTTCTCGTCGTCCTTGATAGCCAGCACCATTGTCATTGTCTGTCCGATCTTCACGATGCCGGACACCTCGCTGGCCCACGGACCCCGGCCCACCTGTATCTGCATCCAACACTGCAGGTTGTCGCCGAGGAAGTTAGCGGTAACGGCGTGCAGCATGTCGACCTGGAACGGCCTGAAGGTGACCGCTTTCTCGTAATAGTCGTACCAGGTGCATCGCAGCTTCCTCGCCTGATCCCACACTTCCTGCACGTAGGGATCGTATTGCACGATTATCGTGTTCTCCACGTAGCTGCCGGACGGTGTGGGGGCGCCGTATGCCGCCACGTTGTGATTCGCCGACGAGCTCATGCCGCACGAGTTGAGGTAAATTTCGAAGGTCGCGCTCAGATGACCGGTTCCCGGCTTCAGATGCACGCAGTGCTGATCCGAGTAGAAGCCCTTGCTGAAGATCATACCGTAGAACGGCCGATCAAACTCGATGTTCACCCGCATATGCGTCTTCTCGCACTGCACCTGCAGATGCTTGATCTGCGGAGTGTCGGGCGACGCCAACGGCCAGTTTTCTTCGTGCGCGACCGGCGGACCATATTGAGACGGGGCCCCGTAAACCGATCTGTGCTCCAGAGGCAGTGCGCTGCTGTCGACCAACGGTGCTTCACTCCGCGCACCCTGATGACACAGAAATCAATTGCGCGTCTCGAAATTGCGGAATGTCAAGTAAAAGAAAATCACGTGACAGAAAAATCGATTTTAATTTTTATTCAAGGGCAGTTACAAACGAACGCAACCGCGACTTAACCGGTACGTGAATCGAAGCGAATGTGAGTGTATATCGGTAACTTCTTTTAAGACCCTTCAGCTGCGTTGCAACGACGGGAACCGGTAATTTTTCAAGTAAAACACGCGCCCTTCTCGTAAATCCCGCGCGTAACGCATCTCGAAACTGTCTCGCGGTCTTTTTAACGGGAATCCAACACACACGTTTCTAACAAGAGTCGCCCGTTGAACGTGGCGAACAAAAAGTAGCGACATTCGCTCTTCTCTTTCTTTCTTCGTCATATTTCAACTTTTTTTCAATGAGTCGCCTCGCGCAAATGGCGCACCGCTGGTCTTTCTCGAATTACAATGAATGACGAGTTCCCATACGTTTCCTCTCGCCCCCTCCCCCGAGCGGCGTCCGCTCATACATCGTCGCGCTCTTCATTCCGGATGGCGCGAAGTTCAGAAGTGAGGTTGCATTAGGAATTCCGCGAGTGTCGTCGACCGTTGCGACTCTATCGCGGAATGTCAATCGAACGCGATTTACGGTGTTTGAAATTCTCGAGAATCGCCGATGGAGGAACCGCATCGACCTTGAAAGAAAATTCTCTCTCAAGAATGCAGAACTCGAGAATTGAAGACGAGAGGTTTGTCATCGTAGCAGACAAACGCGTCATTTGTTTTAATTCTGACTTCGCTATTTGTCAATTTTTTTCTTTGACGATTGTTTTTTTTTTAATTAACAAAATGTGTTAATTGAAAACATGTGCGTTGCGTGCAATAACTAACTAAGTTTTGTTTATTATTAAATATCTCTTCTGTGTTTTTTTATACACATTGATTTCAACTTCTTTGCAAGGTAATCACATCACTCGATCGATATCGCCGCGTCGCCTAAATTCGCGCGTGCGATTTCAAATTGTGTGCGCGACGAATTCAAATCGAATCGGTGCCGACGCCCTTGTGTGCAATCGCAAGTACCGTATGTTAATAATGAAACTCGAAAATATGCTGTTACAAAAAAAAAAAAAAAAAAAAAGACGTGACCGAAACCGCCGCGTATGTACTGTTAGCCGAAAGAAAAACATTCGTCAAGAGAAATCGCAAAGGTAGGTCCTGCATTTGTAAGGTCGGCTGTGCTCCGGCGGACTCTTTCCCTCGGGCAACATTGTATTCCAATTTGGCCGAATTGCGAGACGGTAATTACGGAATGGAATCCGCATGCGGAAACAACGTCCTCACTTCCGCTGGGAAATTTATTTCCAAATGCGATTTTATTTGCGACCGACTTACTACTATCGTGCGCTTTCTCCAATTTGATACGCGAAATGTACGTACTGTGTACTACGCACGGTCTCATTAACCTCTATCTACATTAACGTCTATCTTCGCATTGCGATTCGCAACTAATTAAGGTAAATGTCCCAACGACCGGATAAGAAGCGCCGCCGGTATCCGAAATTTATTATTAAAGATTTAATTGCAACAAAAAATATTTTGCACATAAAGTTGGGATAATATAATTGAGTTTTTCAATAATAATTAAAAATATATCTCAACAAATATTCAAAACGTTGAGAGAATCGTTACGATATTAACGATCTATAATATAATTATTTTTTTCATAATTGTCCGGGTCACTTAGGACGTTCGTCTCGACGTAAATATCTCACGTTAACGATTAAATAAGAGTTCGATAGAATTATGCAAAGATCATGCGAATAATAAGCGCTCTTGACATACAACGTTTATGTTTATGTAACTAAAGCTTCATTGTGCGAGGATAAGAAACTGAAAAAGATCGTAAAGAGCATTCTTCAAGAGTAACTGTTACAAAACTAGACGACTGTGTGCCACAATATCAGCAACCGAGTTTTCACAGCGTAATTATATACAGATGTCAAACACTCCGTGCGATTCTCGCATGATTGTAAACTAGATCGCGCAAATCCGGTGGCGTTCGTCGATACAATGTTAATTCCAATGGTTAATTCCAAGACGACGTGTATAACGTTAGTTTTTTTATTTACACAATCAATTTATCGCAATTTGAATAAAATGAGTAATTTTTAATGAGCAAGCGTCTTGACTGTTTGTGTAGAAATATTCTACTTTTCTCGTATTTTTTTTTTTTTTTTTTTATTTCTTTCGCGCTCCTCCCAACTTCCCGGAAAAACCGAAGATCTGTTATCTTCGCGCGTTGTAATTAGGAGTCATTTCGGAGGTAATAAATAGGTGAAATAAACGGGAGACTTATAATCGTCGGATGGTACTACCAGTCGTGACAGAGCCGGATGACAGTGGCGATTCGCGATCACCAGGAAGCGCGACTCGCAACCGGCCAGGTCGATGACGTTCGCATACCTGTCCGCTTTCTTGTTCTACTTGCACCTGCACCCGATCAAGTCTCTCGGAGACTTTCTGGATAGAAAAATGTGAAATCGGTCGGCGCGCGCGACGAAATCGCAGTCCGCGACACAATTGAGCGAGTAACGAAGTTTAAATAAAATTGACCCAAAACCGTCGGATCTTTGGCACACAAGAGTGTTAATAATAACAAACGTATACAGATCGGGATAAAACGAGAACTCTAACTGTGAGTGAATTGAGTAACGAGAATGGTTTTTGTATCTTGTCAAATTTTCATGTTCTTTTTTTTTTTCAATTTTATTTCTTCCTCACTTCGTTATTCCGATCATTAAACGTTCAGGTGCTCCAAATAAGTTTCGGAAATGTATGATCCTCCGGACGAATCGTGAAACACAGCTGTTAAATCTAATTTTTAACAGTCGCGGTTGGTGAAAAATAGCTTTCACGATGGATCGTTAGCCTTAATATCGAACTGACTTTCCTAGCAAATCGTTAACCTTAATAGACATGTCTCCCCGTGCTCACTCTCATAAAACTTCGACACTTTAAAAAGTCCGATATTAAAAAAATAGTAAAATTATATAACTTCACGTACACATGTACCTACAATGTAACCGTCATTGGAAATTAAAATTAATCGAAAAGTTAATTTTTTATTAACGAAATTAAAATAAATAGAGAAGTAAAAGAGAGAAGAGAATAGCCAACGAGCGCAAAAAAATTCAAATATTCTATTCGGTCAATGTCCGATGTGAGAAGTTCTGATTTCTACCGTGTAATAATTTTAGAAAACGAACATCCTCTCCCTACGAAGTGTAATATCGTTTCTATAATAAATAAAGACGCGCGTCACGGTCGAAGAACGCGCGCTATGGTCGCGCCGGAAGATAAGCAGATTTCACTTTTTCCCCCATTGTCATCCGCTGTGTACGACGAATTGTTCGCCAAGTGGACATCGCCGTGGACTTTCACCGAATCGCGTGTGCAGAACGAAACTTCTTAATTGTCGCGCGCGAGGTGCCCAACCAGAGATGCTCTTTTCATTTCGCGACGATTTCGGAGGTTCCGCTTTAATCACGCGCACGGTGAGGCGTTATTGGGTACGCGCGATGTTTAATAGGGTTGAGAGTGCTGTACGTACGGCTATACGTATTGTACCGGTGCTCGATATATATTTCACGCTGACGACATTTTTCTGTTCTCTTCACATTCGCTCTATTGCTCAATACGTATCGAGAAGAACAAACATTTAGAAAAATGTGAAATGAACACGTCGCAATGAAATATAAAACCTATATGAAAAATTGTAATAAAACTATAATCTATCTATAAAATTATGAAAATTCTTCAGTGGATCAAATAATCTCATCGATTTGTTGCAAAAAAACGAAGCATTTTTAATCACAGAGAAAAGTTCATTAAATGCTGTCTCCGTAATAAAATATAAAAATAACAAAATAAACGAGGAATTGTCTCAGGTTCGGACTTGGTATATCCAATATGAAGATAATGAAAAAGGACTTTGCTGAACTTATATGCAGGTTGGTTTGCAAATGGCTCAAACAAAAATATGTTTTACAAACGTTTCGTTGACGACACACTTCACCTGACAACATCTCTTAATATCTTGACAATTAGATACGTCGTCGATCAGAATGTAAATGTAGTTTTGACCAAAGATATGTCACAAATGATTTTTCATTATTTTTACACATCTCATCTTATCTCATTTTACCAAAACGAATTACCATTATTTTGTTCGTATAATTTGTATAACAGACACTGAAGAGGACTCAAAATATAGTCGAAACGTTTTTTTGTAAAACATATTATTGTTTGAGTCATTTGCAAACCAACCTGTATACAAGTTCAGCAAAATATAAAAACTATACAAATTACTATAATAAAATTACAACCTACTACAATAAAATTATGAAAATAGTTGATAAGATAACCATATCAAAAAAAATATGTTGCAAAAACGAAGAATTTTTAATTACGGGAGAAAAGTCTGTTTGTCAAGTCATATCCACAAATTCCGTAATGCGCTGAGTTTTTTCCCGTTTAGAAAGCATGCCGCGCATCTGCGGGTTCAATGCAATGTGTGTTTCGACAGTACGCTATCAAAAATAAGATAACGAATTTTCACGGAGAGAAACTTTTGAGTTGCAATATACGAGCGATGTCTCTCTTTGACTATATATGGTGGCGAAAAAGTAGGCCGGGTCGTTCAACACGGACGGTGTGTGCCTACATGTCACATACGTTTCGATAAGGCTATTATGCGGAACGCTCGGTGTCGGGCATTGAAATCGAAGCAAAACGTGAAAAATTCAACGTTGACTCACGTTCGCAAAATGGTATCGCATTCGCGCTTTCATTCACAGTCACGTAACGATCTATCGGTATTGCATATTTATTTTTTTCTCTCTCTCTCTCTCTCTCTCTCTCTCTCTCTCTCTCAAACAAGGTCTATTTACGTTCTAGGTGTAAGTAACGAAGTGTAATAATTCCCGTTAAGCTGTGCGTAACTTTAGCTGCGCTATATATATATTATATCATCAAAAAATTATAAATTTTTATATTAATTTTATATTATAACGAGTGATTATGTGGATTTGCAGCGCGTTATCGGTAAAAACGAGAAATTGGAACTGCAAAATTAGAAGTAGATGAAATAAAATGTGCGGAACGTATTTAGTTATCTTACGCGAGTAATAAAACAGAAGATATTGATCGCTCCAATTCAACACGCTAACTAGTTAACTTCATTAACTTAATACTTAATCACGTCTAACCCCGCAGATTGTATATTATTAATTTCTTCGTCATTAAAATTGATTTCACTGAGAAGAAAATTATAATATAAAGTAACTCTAAAAATTATACAAGTTTGTTGTTATTATTATTAAAGTAAGTTCGTGTTATTATTTATTATTAGTTCAAGAGAACGGTATGTTTTCTCACCGGGCAAAAAACATATTATTCTTCAATTCATTTTTTCGATAACAGCAATTTGCCTGTGGAAAATTTCCAAGTAGACCAAAAGAAATTACTATATTCGCAAACGACCGCGCGCAGATTGAACGTATAATATACGTAAGTTTTACTCGCTTTGGAAACCTAAATCGCGCTGATGTTTTTTTTCTTTTTTTTTTTTTTTTCGAGGTATCGCGAGCGCGGGAAGATGACGCGATCTAATTAAAAGAAGACGCGCCGGCAATAACCGCATAAAGCGCGTGCGAACCAGGCTGAGAACCTCACCCGGGCGTCGCACTTTCGCGGGGATAAAACTCTCGTCGGGTTGGGATTTTAATTAAAGAGAGGAGAACACCTTTGTGCTTCGCGCAATATATATATATATATATATACATAGAGCTATACGAAATGGCGATGCATCAGATGCGCAATCGCGCGAAACGTCACGGCCGCTCGGCGAATTCGGCGACCAGCGCGGGGAGCACAATCGCGCAACTCTCCTGCTAACTTTTATTCACGGTAATCCGTGCTACGTTCGTTCGCGCGCGCACTCTCTCGTGTCGATGAGAAAAGGTCCTCTTCTCATAATTAAAATTTCATTCCCGAGCTGCTGATTAAATTTAATTCTACGCAATCCTCCCTTCCTCCTTGCAATTCGTATCGTCTTTGCCGTTGTATATACGGTGTTGTAAACACTGATGGATTAAAATTGTTGGAATCTTTAATATATTTTATCACGAGACGAAGAAAGAAAAAAAGAGAGAGAGAGAGAGAGAGAGAAACAATATGTATTCAAATTAGATATTTCTGAAAAGAGTTTGTTTGCATATGAGCACTCTTAGCGTTCTCACATATACTAATGAAAAAATAATATTTCTGTTTTTCCCCGAGGGTAAAAAAAAACAAATAATTACAGCTCGCGACAATTAACGTAATATCAAAGCGAAACAAACAATATCTGGCAGAACGCAATATATATATATATTTGTTTTTAAGTAATTGCAACTTTTAGTATATTGCAATTAAAGTCGCGCGTTCGAACTCTCATCTATAATTCGAGGTGATAGATCCCCCCGTGATTGTAGGTTCGTTATCAATGGTTAAGGTTGGGAGCGACACGGGATAAAAAGCCTATAAACGATCTCGAATTACGAGATCGCTAAACTGGCTGTTGGAACGACGAGCGCAGCGGAGCAGTTCTGTGGTCGTCCGCAAGATTGCACGTTGTTAAGAATCGCAAATACCAGGGAATTCGTTTCATTCCCATTCATTACGACTTCTGAATGACGGAATAACACAGCAAGGAAAACTTTCATTACTAAATCGCGTGTCGCTCATTCGACTACGCATTTGCTTCTCATTTTTATTATTTCTCTCTCTCTATATATATATATATATATTTCATTATTGAAATATTCATAAAAAAATTCACATAAAGAGAGACAGAGAGAGGAGGGGCGAAGAGAGGAGGAATTTATGTTAAAGACTTTCTCAAGGAAGCTAATAATGATACCGATTGTTTGATACGAATGGGATAGAGTTGCCTCTACTATATATATATATGACGATATAAGAAAAGAAAAAAAAACATAAAGACTACAGGAGAAGACAAAGACGACGAAGGAAAAGAAAAAGCGTGAGAAGCGAAGAAATGTGAGGGAGGTGGGATGAAGAAAAGATAGCTGGTAAATGATGAAGAAAAATGAAAGAGAGAGAGAGAGAGAGAGAAAGAGAGAGAAGTGAGTGAGAAGATAGTGGGAAACACACAGAAGAAGGGTATCGTCTAGAGAGTATATAGTCGAAAGAGGGCATTGCGTCCGGCGCAGTGACCTACTATCTTCGGTTCGACGGCTCGGCTACGTAGCCAGCCGGTGTGGTTTGAGCCGTGTAGAGACCGTCAGAAATACGCACAACAGAAGTATAACAGGTACACACGTCGCGCGAATGCACCAACCGCGAATTCCTACTCCACTTTATCTCTCGCCGCCATCCGCCGCATGAAGTTCGGTTAATTATTGCACCGGCATTTTTTTTTTTTTTTTTTCGCTGTCACGCTGTCGCGCAAGAGGAGGAAACGCATATATTTGCAACAGCATCGCACACATCTTTTTCTTCTTTTTTATTCGATTTTCTTCGATATAAATATCACGAGACGCGATTACTCAAATAGAGGATAGAAATATATTCCATTAGTTTCTCTTGATTTTTCTCTACTCGATTCTCACCACGATTTTCTCTTGTCGATTATATCAAGAGCGTTAAATCTCCCAGCTCGATAATTTCTAGCTCTTTATGCCGTCTCATTTCCTCCAGGATTGTCAAGACGCATCGACGTGTAAGTTAGCAATGTAGGTAGCACAAGAAGAAAGAGAAAAATTTGATCCACGTGACCGCGAAATAAAATGTCTGATCTTGCTGATTTTCCTCGTTCTTTTTCCCCCCTTCCGTCTTCTATTTCGATCAATATTTGAAAGACCGCGGTATAAGTTGGATATTACGAAAGTTCGAAATTGCCAGCTGGCTTTTTACTCATTCGTCATTTTTATAAAAGTTGACATTAAATATGAACTGTCGCGATTAATAAAAAAAAATCGAGAAAAACCGTGAAACGTTCTCTGTTATCGATTTTTGATTCAGGTGAGTGAACTTCGCGCGCCAGAAAAAGAGAATTTTATTACAAAAAATGGGAAAGATGCGACAAACAAAAGAAAGAACAAAGAAGTACGTCGAGAGAGAAAGAGGATAAAATTCGAGAAAAGAATTATTTTCTAACGAGTTGACTCGAGCGCGTCAGTGCGCACATACGAAAATATATACAGTCGCGCGCGACACGATTGGCTAACTATCGTATTGACAATGTCCGTCTCGAATGGTTCGATTATTCAATTATTCCCACGCGAAAGAGTCACATTTGCCCACGTGGGAGAGATAAAGACAAAAACGATGGTTGTGTGCACCTCGTTAACAATACGTCGCTCGCGGGCACATATTCGTATTTACCGATCACCCGATAAAGCCCCCCCCTCGTCTTCATTCAGACTCTGGCCACGGTAAACATCGGCGTCTATATATGTGGCACAGGCAGTTGCCCGCGGCAAACGATGACTTCTCTCTTAAGCATTAACTTCGACGTCGTGTTGATTCTCGGCCAGGCAAGCACGTACATACGCACGTACCGCATAGCGGTCCTCCCGGAGGATAAACGCCCGGGCATCAATGGGAAATATCACTTTTTGCAAAGAACGAAGTGAATTTTTTAACGGTCGCCGTCAGTTTTTTAACAGTTAGTCGGAACAGTTCTAAGACTATTTCGAGAGATTATCAATCCATCTGCTGATTAGCATTTTATGTCGGACGAGACGTTTTAACCCACAGAAAAGAATCCGGCGAGAAATTCGACGATTTATCGCAACAAGTGAAACGGATCCAGTTATGTTCGATTTAAAAAAAAATAAAAAAAAAAAATAAAAAACGGATGATGATGTAACGCGAATTCGATGAGTATCGCAATGTGTGTTCTAGAAATGAGCGCGCGTGTGTTTTAAATCTGAAAAAATGTTTCGGAAAAATCGCGATTGCGTTGCAGAAAAATATAATAGATCTCGTTAAGGTCGTTATTTGTCTTAAATCAATATTACAAACAATATTTTATATATTATACATGTTGTACATACTTCAATCTCAGAACAGACAGGACTTAAACTCGGTATCAGACAGTTACAAAATTATATTTCTGTGGAATGCGTTTCTACGAATCGGACACCCGTAAATTTTGCGCTCCCGAGCGTACGTAATACACAAAACGACGTCGTAGATACGAATGCGCGCACCGCACGAACAGGTGCGTAAATAACTTCACCCGCTTCACGCGGCGCGACATAACGGTTACGGTATTAACGACCCGTCTGTCACTTTAAAGGGAGAGAATAAAACGCGCGCGCGCGCGAGCTAGCGCCGCGAGAGTAACAATCTTCGTCGTTCAACTTATTGCACAGTGAAATTGTAATTGTCGTTGGTATGTAGGTATGTAGATTTACACGCGCGAGCGCGCGTTTGTTACGAGCAAACGAGTATCGCGTGACACACACGTAGCCGGAAATGCGGCAATCGTCCTCGGATGGAATTGAAAAAGTGACGATGCACTTTTGCGCGAGATTAATTTTTGTTTCATTTACTTGAGGGAGGAAATTAAATTGCGAGACACATCGGTGTCGTTAAATTGTATCATCTATTTTGTTTGTTTGGTTTTTGGTTTTTTTTTTTCGTACTCGTTTCTGCACACTTTTATGGCTGCCCGTGTTATTAAAATTGATTTGATAATTTGTAAGACATCTTGAAAATTTTACTCACGGCCAAGAGCAAGGGTAGCAATAACAAAAACGTCTTCCGTATATTCCGCCTCGTCCTCTCCATCGTGTTCTCTCTCTGTAATTAAAAGAAACTTCTGAAACATTCATATAACTACCCCATATATACATTGAAGATTTCGAATTGTCTATTTAAACAGAATACATGTTTTAATACTAATTATTCTATAATTGCATTTTTGTTTTTAAGTATATTAATTTCTCTTCTTTATTCTTAAAAAATAATCTCCATAATATACATCGCGAGAAAACTAAACAAAAAACTAATTGTAACAATTAAATAAAATTTTTTGGTACAGTAAAAAAAATTTTTTTCGATTATCTGAGCACACACAAGTTGGCGTGTCTACTTGTCACCAACCAAATAAACATTTATGCAAGAAACGTTTAATACACATCTTAGAACGTGAAATTTTTCAAATATATTTTTTTCACACACACACACACACACACACGCACATACATACACTTCCTCTGTTTCTGTCTTCTCTTCTCCTCTTTCTCCCTCTTTTTTAAATTTAATTTTACTCTAAAATCAGAGTTACATTTTCACTCACGCAACAGCTAAAGCCACACCACGTCCTTATTAATTCTTCACAAGAATTTTTTTTCAAGAGTGTAAAACACAACGGGAACAAATTAGTCTAACGATAAAACATTTGTTTAATCTCACGAAGATGATTTCAATGTGCGTTAACTATTCATTTTATCTAATCGAGTTTGAGAACTACGAAACTTCAGATCGTAAATTCGTAGCAATCGCAACTATGGCGCACTATGTCTCTCAACTCGTCGTCAAGATACAAATGAATGAACGAACTTTCTGAAAACTACGAGTTTTTTTTTTCAGAGAGCGGAGAACAAGTATCGCAGAGGATGAAACAATTAATCGATGCACTTGGTCTTCGCGTGTTCTTTCTGTTTCTGGGACGTTTTGTTTTCTGACCGAAAAAAACGCGTTCTACCGAAGAAAATCACCTGGCCAATCCCCCTTGCGGAACCACCTGTTCTTTCCCCTACAAATGGAATCCACGAAATGCACCGACCGCGACGTGAAGACTCCAACAACTCACGTCAAATGATCCTCATCGGGTCAGGTACACCTTCTTTCCTTTTTCGTAACTATTTGTTTTTTTCCTTTTTTTTTTTTATTTTTTATTTTTTATTTTTTATTTTTTTTATTTTATTTTTTTTTTTTACCGTCGTGCTCTCGTATCCGACCGGCGAGGATTCAATGGAACCCAGAGGTTTTCCTGGCCGACGGGGACCGACTGAAGGTGCGAGCCACGCTCGTCTCATCCATGAGCCACGTCCCAGTGACCTACTGAAGATCTCGATCGCGCTCGTCCATCGCCCCCCTCGCTGTCCCCCTTAAAAGCGCACGACGTCAGGCCCAAACAGGCCCGCCGTCGACAGCGCTGCTGATACTCCCACCACACCGTCCGATCACTTCTGCTCTTTTTCCGCGCACGCTTCTACGTCTTTCTCTCTTTCTCTTCAGAGTAGTAGGGTACCTTGCAGTACAGGTGAAAGACGCGCAAGACGATATCTCGTCACACGCGTCACATAAAAGGAGACTTCATTGAAAAAATATTTTCAATGGAAACATGAAAATTTGATATGTGTGTAAATGTGTCCCGATATTTGACAAAAAAAAAAAAAAAACAACTCGCGATACTTTCTTTTTTATTTGCAATATATTTTATTAAAAACCTAATTTATCAAAATTATCAGAACATTTGCAACATGTTACATCGTGCGATTGTTGTTAGAAATTTTTTCAACGTTTGTATCGAGTTTTCCGATACGAGAGAAACGTTGAAATCTCCGTATGCCGGTCATCCGTCATACATCGTGGAAACGAAGAGAAAACAAATCGAGAAAGAGACGCGGAGAAGAAAGACGAAGAGACACACGGACATCGGAGTCGTGACTCGAATGACACGACGAGAGGCGCGAGATATCCCCGATGGAAACCGGAGTACCGCCGCGCGTACCGGAGTACGTACCTGCAAGAAAAAAAAAAAAAAAACGTCGAATTGCTTGGCTTCTCAATTTCAAAAAATCGCACACACTGGGAATCGCGGCAGTTGCTGGAAACGGAGAATTTCGTTTGAGAATTGAGTCACGACATACGAAACTGCTGATCTCTTTCCTAAGTCCAATTTCGCGAATCGTCCCTACTCGGCTCAGTGTTTCACACACACACACATACACACACCGTCTCAGTGAGACGAGAGCAAAGAGCCGCGTGAGCAGTGCACAAGATTTCGTAATACCACCGCGGAATACAAAAGTATCTGTGTGCTGCACCGTCTCTCAGAATGGTCTCTCATAAAATGTAAAACGAATAATACACTCCACTTAGCTCACGTTACGTTACAAACGCGAAATATCTGAACTCTTACCCAAGTAATAAAAAAAAAAAAAAACTACAATACTGGCATTCAATGAATCGAAGCAGTGAATAAAAAAAAAAAGATTCCTTGTGGATAAATTATTTATATAAAATATAAATGCCTAATGTAAATGCTCGCGCGCTTTGCTCGCTCGTACACTGTTGTACACTTTCGTTTTCACTTCACGAAATCTTTGCAATCTATATTATATATATATATATATATTTGCGGTATATGCGTTCACATATGTGCGCACGCATTTGTCTACATTTGCGTAACGCCACAACCGATAAGAACGAGACTCGAAAGCCAACCGGCATCGATGGGACTGACCTAGATTTCTCACCCGCATGGTGCTAACTCGTCCATCCGGAAATGGCTCGCGGTAGTCGGCCGTATGCCGAGGGATAACGACGCACGGTAGATAATATGCGAAAGTGCGAGTGAACGTTCTCTTTCGTCATATATATATATACATATATATATATATATAATTTTTTTTTTGTTTTTGTTTTGCATCCAGCAAGCGTTAGAAACTAACCACCGGTTCGACTCGAACGTAGCCGGCGAACGAATCGCACGCGAGATTTCATAAAGAATTCTTTGACGTGAGAAAAATTCTCACGCGAAAAAAACGAAGATACGCCAAAATTCTTTACCTCGCGATTAAACCCAATTTGTCGTTAAAACCGCGAGTTATCGAACACATTTGGACGAATTGCAAATTGACAATTTCCCTGGAGGGGTGTTTGCGAAACAATGTCCGATTTCGTTAATTTACGTTTCCAAAACAGAAAAATTGCATCGATAGGAAGATGGGCCCTTAAGAGAAAGCGGCCTCGAAAATTAATCGTGACGATGTGCTCCATACATCGGGAAACCTCGATAGAATTTCAAAAATTTTGTTCCAGATAGTACCGGAATCCGACGATGAAGAGAATCTTCTCTACGCGAAGAAAAGAAGAGAACTACCGCCTACTTATATGCGCGGCAAAATCCGGCTTCGTGCATACACACACGCAATACGCATATACACATGTTTATGCGGCATTTACATAAGTGCTTGACTCGCGAGAGATCGTAACTATGTGACGATCCAAGAAGCGCACAAACGAGCGAACGATTTGATACTCGCGATAGAGAAAGAGACAGAGAGAAAAGACAAGAGCAACACTCTTGCATACGGAATCTAAGACGCACGCACAGCAAGAATCCTGTTTTCCAAGTGTGCTTCGTAAAGACAGTAGCTTCACGTCGAGAGACGTGGAATAGATATCGGACTTAAACAAGTAATTTAAGAAACAAGCGAGTTTATATATTTACCGTCCACGTTCTCTCTGTGACGTAATATCTCGTGGGTACAGTTATTCGAAAATTTTTCTTAACATTTTTTCGTTTTTCACCTGTGACACGTCACGTCTACACCGAAAAAATTATATTCTTGTAAGTAGAAGATTTTACACTTAAAAAATCTTCTTAAAGATTTTAGATGATATTCTTCTGAAATTAAGAATATATTCTTTATTTAAGAATATAGTCTTTTTCGATAGTGAG